CAGAATTCTGACTTACTAAGTAGCAATTGCGAGATATAAAGTCGGAATTGTGACTTAGGCCTACTAAGTCGCAATTGCGTGATTCCGTGGCTTATATTTTTTTTACTACCTGGCGGAAACGGGCTTCCATAGTATGTGACCTGCTCAGTGCATAAGAAAAATATTCAGCAGATGTTAAGTCTTAAATATCAAGTGAGAGCGGAAGTTGGAGCGTTACTCACTGACAGCACGGTTTCAGAACCACGGATAGTACCAACGTTGAATCTGGACCGTACAAAAAATTATTTACAAAGAATCTGCCGAAAACGGGCGCAGTTGGTCATCTCATACGTGCATACGTTGCATTTCTATCAAGACAGTGCGCCCGATCTGTCTGCACCAGTTCATGCGGGGTTTTGCCGAAAACAATTCCATAATTGTTCCAGGGAAACTGATCTGACATCGACCAATAAGGATATCAGTTTATGCTCACTGAATAATTTGTAAAGGATGTGCATGAATCGAAAGCCTGATATTTAATTGATAAAGCCACTTAGAGATTCCTGTCTTGACAGTATATAAGCATTTAATATTTTGAGTTCATAAAAATGTATTACGGAGCTGCAGCCTACTTCTTAAACTGTGAGCAGATGTTCTGCACACACAAGTGCTCGTACAATTAGAACGTGTTTGTTCATCGCGATTCCCATGTGGCTTACAGGTTGTTTTTCTCCTGTCCGTGGGGAACCTGGGAATCCTTTACGGGGACGAGCGTAGCAACAAGCGTATAGGACAATACACTCTTTCGCTTTTTCAGCGTAATTGCTCATAGGGGACAAGCACACAGAGACAATGATAAGGTTATTCGCGAGTTTCTCATCATCACGCAGTCTTTAAATTCGAGTGATTGGGTGTTTTGTTTTATAAAATCAAACGTGATCACGTGGCCCTAAATCTACTTCAACCTACTTCAAAATTAGGGGCAATACAATGAATTGTCAGATCTCCGCAACATTTCAACAACTGGCATTTTAATTTGTTCGTCTCTTAAATTGTAATTATGCAAAATAAAAGGCAAAATGCATCAACTTCTATATTTAAATTTCTGTACGCTGGAAAGTGAAAATAATAATCGCTCATTAATTATTCAGATGATACCTGTTTGTAAAGCCTTTCACTGCTCACCTCGTGCCTCTAAGAGAAATGAACAGCCCCACATATGAACTGAATCATTAGGCATAAGCCAAAACCGAAACGTTTACAACTTGAGAAAATAGCTACATCTACGTGCTGGCATAATCAGCACCCAAACATAGCGTGAACTAGGTTGGACTTTCCCCGGCAAACGGTTTATTTAAAATCGATTATTTTTAGGCTTACATATAGGCCTACAACAAGAAAAATAACTGCACAAGTGACTAAATATTTCAGATATTATGATACAAATGTATGAAATTGTCGGCACATCCATACGCCTACGCATGCAAATTAGGAAAAAACAAGAGCAAGTTGTTGCAACGGCAGTTTAACAAAGTACCGCTACAAGTGAAGCCGGGATGCACTGAGATTCCTCAAAAACATACCGCCAGATCCGCAGAAGCAAAATACAAAGCGAGGGTGTTTATGCGCATCGCCTTACCGGTATCTTGCAGGCGACTTCAGGAGCCGGAGACAAAAAGACTGTTATTAGTTTTGGAAAGTCTGTATGTTCCTGCACACCCTCCTTAAGTGGGTTTTTCGTGCTTCTTCCTGGTGACATCAGAGGGAGGGCTGGATAATTAGCGGAAACTTTTTTTCTTCTACATCTACGGCCTCCCAATTATCAACAGTATAGTCAGAGGTGGAGACTTCGGCTCAGCTGATGAGCTTCTGCTTAATGGCCCGATTGAAACCGCGCTGTTTGCTTGCATTTATTATGTTTCCTGCGGTAGGCAGGACGTAAGCGCCCCTGTACCGCAGTGGTTCAGATGTCAGGTTGGGGATGTTCTATATGCTACTGGGCATAGCAGTTCACTTAAATCCCTTTGGTAAATATGCCTGCAGTGAGTGACAGGCTAAAAGACAGATGTAAAAGATAGGCATATCTAAAATGCATTAGAAAACCATGACAGCTGAGCAAATAAAGGAACACAATAGGCTTAATAATCACATGGTCATGGGCTGAGTGAGAAAAATTGTTTGCCGGTAAGGTAAATCTGGGGGGGAAGTGTCAGATATCCAGGTCGTAAATGCTGGATGTACTCGCTACGAAACAGGGTACACTGTGTATTGTCTAATGGTGGATACATTACAGCCAGGCCTATTAGAATTGACGGAATATGGTATCATAGTTTTGCTTTCTGTCTAATAATAGACTTTCCCGACTACGCAGATTATGTTACCTTTTTACCTGATGTAAAATAAAATATTAACAATCCCTAAGGATCGACCAGTGCTGATGGGCTACTTCTCGGAGTAACTGTCAAGGACAGCAAAATGAAAGACTGCATAACATTTAATCACGATAAGTATCATATGGAGGCTCATGAACAGATTGTGCAGAGCAATCAAAATCTGTAACTTCTCTCCAGGGTTCGTAGAGGCCACCACCATTACAACAAAGATTCGTCAAGATAGTATTTTCTGCCCATGGCCTAAACCTTAAATATGAAGAGCCTCTATCCGTACTGGATGGCGCGTGATTGTAAGAAAGCGGTAGGAGCTTCTGTTGCGTGTGTTGATCAGTTCAAGTCCCCATCTGCCAACACGTAATTAAAAAACTTTTTTTTTTCTCCCGACATAAAAGCTGTGTTGCTCAATCGCTCCTCATTTCGGTACAAGAATAACTCGGAACTAGGGAAGGTCAGGGGAAAAGGTGCCGTAGCCTTTATTTCGGCATATATAAAACAGTAAGGAGGAAAACATGTCAGAAAGCATAATTTGGCGTACAGACAAATTACATACAAGCGATAATTGTAGGTACGACTACGGCAGGATCCAGTATGACATGCCGATAAGTAAGATTTGCGTTTGTCTTTATAGATTACGCAGAAGGTACTGTCGAGGATGACTTTATCCCCGTCCCCTGGCTTTCCATGACTGTAGTGGCGCCCGTTCCCCATGTCCCTGCCTTATGTGATCGCGACACGAAGGGCATAAAACTGCGTTACGAACCGACTGCACCTCTTTCATTAGGCGGCAGCTGCGGGGACCAATAAATCCCTCCAGACTGTGTATTTGGTTATAGTCAATCAAATCCGAAGCAGTAATTGCCCTAGCTGTAATTGTTTAATCATCTTATAAACTCAAAGAGACAAAAACTGGTAAGGATTGGCAAAGTTAGGCCTATAGGCCTATACTCTGTTTTGGGACACTGATTCAGTTCATGTAAAATATTCGTTCTGATTCCTTCACCAACTCGTTCAGTGGCACTTTCTGTTTGCATAAAATAGATATGAAACAGTTAAAATAACCTCAAAACCAAATAGCCACAAAATTGTGTGACTACAGATTTCAGACAAATGCCATTATAACCAGATGATGGTTTTTAAATGATATGAGCCGAAAGAGCAACAATTTCACACTATTATTGATACATTTTTTCTGTAACACAGCCTATAGCTGAAAAACATATTCGAGTGCAAGATAACGGCAAGGTTTGGGAAATAAACAGGTTTGGGTGTTGGTCAATAAACAGCTCACTTTGCATTAGTCTGCAAACCCTTTCATCAGGTACAGTGGGTTTGTTCAGTAAACATTTCCTGCTAGCTCATTTCATTCAAAAGAGGCATCAAGGAAAACGATATATGAAAAACATTTTTTTTGGCCATCGTGACATTAAGTAGCAGTTCTCTGGACAGCAAACGGGCGTATATATTCGAACAGAAAGGAAAACTATAATTCCATCTTCAGCGTGAAGTTCGGTCATGCTGGCCTCCATCTTAGCCCCGAGAGACCTGCTTGGGACACTTGCTTTCAGCCCCATTGGCTCCTGCAGCCATGATACAGCCTCCACATCACCGCTATTAACACAGGCTTGTGGTGCGTTCAGTACATATACATTAAAACTGTGGTGTATTAAATGTTCCAAGAGCAGGAAAGTCGTGTAGCCCAGACAGGGAAAAAACAGAAAGTGGAGCTACCACATCGTTATAAGAAGCACTGCACCTACTGCATTCCTATGGGTGACTTACAGTTAACATGAATTATCTGGGGGGGAAAAAATCAATTTAATATGTATTGTCTATCCACCCATCCACCCATTTTCCAAACCACTTATCCTTCTGGGCCGCGGGGGGTCCGGAGCTTATCCCGGAAGCTACGGGCACGAGACAGGGAACAACCCAGGACGGAGGGGGGGGGGGCAGCCCATCGCAGATGTATTGTCTAGTAAGAGGATATTATTTATGCCAACCAGTTTGAGAAATGGCCACCTTTAAATTACAAAATTCAGAGAAAAACCTTAGCCAAAAAGTCGGTCAAATAAGCCAAATTTTTTATTGAGTATGGTAATCCAATTATATCTGAGTTGGTAAATTACAAAAAGGGATGGTCATAAAAAAAAAAAAAACACTACATAAAATTCAGAGGTTACACAAATTCGCAGACTACACCAGCATGAAGGACTTCCCGCACCATCATAAGGACTGAGACTGACAGCCGCACTTTACAGCAGCCCCTGGCGTTTCAGATCCTCATAGGTTTTCTTGTTGACCACGTTCCCGCTGGAATCTTCATATTCCTCCTGCAGGTCAGAGAAATACTGGCGTCACCTTGTGGTCACACAGCGCAACTACAGCTACTATACTTAAAGTTGACAGAAAATGGCAAAAAAAAAGTCAACGGGACGCTAAAAGAACCTGAAACTTGCATGTTTACATCCCAGAAGGTATTATTGCTGTTATACCCTCATGCGGGGCATTAGAAATAGGGGGGGATGCCCCCATATTTCACCGCATCCTCAGTACATGAACAGATATCTATTCAGGACTGAACAATATTGGAGGGGAAAAAAAATAATTGTGATATATTTCAATTTTGTGATTGCCGCTCCTAATAGCGAATTTTGCTAATTAACATCTCAGTCGTGATACAGATAGTACAGATGAGTAAGAATGCGCTCCTCAATTTTCATTATGAAACCATGCATTACTGAGGCCAACTCCCTGTGCATGCGGAGTGCCACGACTTAGCATAACCGAAGACTGTAGTCATATATCAGAGATCAATTTTTTTTTAGTTATGTTTAGTTGAGAAACTGCACCTTGTCAGTCTAATTTTAAATGAAGTATTTACAGTATTGTAAAATCTCTTACTTCACATCCTTTCATGATATGACTAAATGCATGCGTGCCCACTGCAATGTCGCAATACCAACCCCCCCCAAAAAGGACTCAACCAAACACCCACCTCTGTGTCAGGCTGCCACCTTTCTGATGCCTTCTGGGACTTCAGCTTAGCCCACACTGAGGAAGAGAAAACAGATCAGACCGCACCTCCAACAGCCATCTGTAAGGTTTAGTAGGAGACCTGGGTCTCCGGGACAGAGTATCCTAAAACACTGAAGGCTTTGCACTCCACTGAGTGGTGGACGCGTAGGAGGTTACTCACGGGAGACTGCGTCCTCGATCTGGGTGACGTTGGCAAAGTGGGCGGTGTTGGGGATTCCCAGGCATCGCATGCCGTGCGCATGGCGCCACTCCTGTTTGGGCGAGATGCAGAAACCACTCAGCATCTTCCCCGGCATGAGCCCGAAGGATCGGCCCTCCCCCCCCCGGACACCTCACAATAAAAAACAAGCTTCACGCATCCGTGGAGATCCAATGACAGACACACGGATGTAGAGTGGTTGAATTACATTCCACAGCAGGGCTGCAACAACTAAATCGATAACGGCAATAATAAATATGCAATAAAAATAGCTGATAAACTATTGTTTGCATTTTCGTGGTTTGCTGCATAAAATGCGACGTTCAGTGTGTCAAACCTAGTTCATACTCCACTTTCCCACATGGTGTTACAGTCTGTGTTTTGGTGTGTGCATGGACTCTAGTCTACATACCACACCTGTCTGTAAATGCAGACGGTTGCAACTGGCGCACGCATACAGCCATGAAATTCCATCAGATGGGCAGAGAGCAGAAGTACTGCATTGTTTCCATGCCACCGTGTCACTTTAGAGATTCTCCACACGGTGTAAAATTTCGACCACAACTGATGTAAATACCTCAATGTTTTTAGTTTTTTTTGTTCTTTTCTTAAATAAAGCATTTGCACTTTTCTTTAAACTTTGGTTTTGATTACTGGTCAATTACCTGATCACGTGATTAAGCGATTATCAAAATAATTGTTTTTTGCAGCCCTATTCCACTTAGAGAAATCCATTGTACATATGTGACCAAACGTGCTCTTGCGGACGGAGCCCCAGAGTCTCTCAGGTACAAACTCACCGCAAAGTGGCGCTGGAAAGCCTTGGGTCCTCTGTATGTGTAGTTTCCACAAATCTCACAGTTGTAGTTTATATTCAATCCATGCAGTTTGTACAGCCAGTAGGGGATCGGCTAAAATACAGGCAAGGATTAGACGTCAGGGGAATAAAAGTCCTGGATCAATTGCATTTATTGTTTTTGTCTTACATCATGAGACTTGGAAACAGGCGAAATACACGCCCCAGTGTCCAGTTACGGTACTGCGCTGAATACCTTGCCATCCCAGCCCAGCGGCAGGTTCTTGGGGTTATAGATGATCTCATTGTCCTCATCCTCGCTCTCGCTCTCGCTCAGCTGCTCCTCCTCTTCCTCCTCGCGCTCCTCGCCCGTGCGCGCCTGCTTCCGCTGCACATTCTCGTGGGTCAGCTGACGT